CAGGTGATTGTTAGTCACCACCATTGCCTCGGCTGTATGGGTGCTTTGTCTCGTTATTGCTCTAAGGATCATCATCAGTTCATTATTTTAAATGAATTTGAGAAGCACAGCCGTTAGATTTGAAGCAAGATGATGAATAATACTGTTGCCACTGGTAGCAGTCTCTGATGATACTCAGTGTCTTTTATAGTAATTTTGCTGAGTGTACAATATACATAGGTTAGTCCATTAGATGCAACACAGAGGTGGAAAATTGGTGATCTACAGCTTAAATGTGGCTTCTTGGCCTTGACAACTTTGGAATGATGTGATGGAATTTCAGTGAATGCCAAAAAAATTGTGCATTGATGTATTAAAGAGTAATTGCTGTTAAATGTTTATTACTTTTCTTGGTTAGTGTTTGATTAAAAATTTGCAGACTCTGATAATAAGCGCCACATCACAATGTAATGAATCCATGCTGTTCTCAGATTTTAGCTTTGCACCAATTGTGAGATGGCTATATATGATGGAAGCAGGTACATATTTGTGGTGGATGAAAACCATCTTAATACACTATTTTATGTCTGTATCCTTGCATATATTAATCAATAACCAACCAATATGTAAGCGGTTTGTCATAAATAATGTATGGCTACCAATGCAAAATAGATTCTTGCAATTTTGCTACCAATAAGACAAAGATAGCTCGCATTTAGATCTTGACGCATAAGTAAATAATGTATATATCAAAATAAATTGCTAGTTTTGGTCATATATCTTGATGCATAAATAAATATTGTATTTGTCAAAATAAATTGCTAGTTTTGGTGAAGTTGAATATGTTCGTCCTTACTTGAGTTATGCCAACTGATTGCATGCATTTTGTCCCACTGCCAATATCGTGAATCTGGTAAATTTTTTAATTAAACCAGCAACTCATACCATCCCAAAATAAATCATTTTTATTTTATACAGGTCCCTGCAGCAAATACATAAATATCTAATAGTAGGGGTAGGTTTGCATTCGTAACATAAAGACAATTCCACTATAATAAATAATACATTCCAGCCCATAGTTTGAAAATATCCCTTCATCCAAAAGGGACTTCATTTTTCAGAGCATTTCACCATCAAGGGTATTTAGTAGAAAACGTCCAAGGACGAGATAATTGAAGATGCCCTTATTTTTATTCACAAATAAAGCATCGATAAATCATTGGCAGAGATGGAACAAATCTCAGCTATCTTTTCTTATTCATCTTTTCCTTCCTTGCAACGTTCATAACGATGTGGTGCCGACTCATGGAAAATAGAAAATACCATCTTATTCAGTACATCTCATCAACACTACACTCCCCTAAGAAAACTTTAATACTTCTGGGTGAACCACAACTACCTTCAGCAAGTAGAGCTCTATCGTTTGCTGCCATGTGCGCAATAATCTTGTAGATCATTTCAATCTGCCAGAGAAGAGCAGTAAAAGTAAATCATTAAAAGTGGTCCAGATAAAAAGCAAATAATAAATACGATAGAACAAAGTGTGATGGGACTAAACTTACATCATCCGGCGCATGACAACGTTCAGCTATCTCTTCAAGTGTTAACGGCTCAACAGGCTCTTTACAACTATAAATTACAAAACACAAGAAATAGAAGAAAAAAAAAATCAATGCTAATGACTCTTCAGCAGAATAAAGATAGACTCCAGCAGGAGAGAGAGAGAAAGAGAGAGAGAGAGAGAGAGAGAGAGACCTTGCTTCGTTCAGTACCACAAGGACACGTTTTTGAAGAGCCAAAACTTCTCCCGCAGCTTTTTTTCCAGCCTCAACTCCTGCAGTCGTGTAACGAGCAATGAACAAGAGTGCAATTACGACAGATGAATTTGAAAAAGTGAAAAAAAGGAAGCGGAAGCCTCAAAAAACAGCTCGTTCATGTCTGATTGTCATCAATGACGACAGATGGATTTGAAACTTTTAGCTCACCCCCAGATAAAAATTTTAGACGCATTAACAGTTGCATGTTAATTCAGAAATGACAGCACATCACAGGCAGTAAGGACATTTTTACCTGGTTGGTGGTAGGCATTGATATTGACCAATGAGGCATAAATCCCAACCGCTCGTTCATAGAGTGCAATTAGAGCCCCAACAGATCTGGGTGTGACTTCTTGCACAGTGACTGTGATAGACTCACGGTCATTAGTATATAAAGCAGATCTTGTTCCCTGTTAACCAAAAGTTCGAATGAAGTACAAAATATATAGCACTCTACTTATTGATTAATTTATTATTCATACACTCGAGCACAAATTTCTGCTGAAGTATGAAAATTTTTTGTAGTTCTAAAATTTCAAAATAATATGCATCTCGATGCATTATCTTGGTCTGAAAGGAAAGACAGTTTTGATGAGGAGGTCCAAAGAAGCCTTTTAATTTTTGCAAGGATTAGTAAAGCGCAGCCTTTATTGTCGAGAAGAAATGTTGACCTGTAAAAATCCAAATAGGTAGTCACCGCAGGTAACACCTGGCTCGAGCTCCCAATCATGACCAGGTGGCCTATCTCGTAGAACTTCAATGAAGGTCACAAAAAAGTTATGGACTCCATCTCTGAGCTGTTGAATGTAACTGAGAGAGAGAGAGATTTTTCAGATAATTGAAGACGAATCTGAACGTGAGCTAAAATTGAAGAAAATGAGATGGAACACATACGCGTGTTGATCAGTGCTTCCTTTGTTTCCATAAACAGTTATTCCTTGATTTATCTGCAAAATTATCAAAGATAGCTTTGAATACTACCAGAAAGAAAATCACAGTATTTGAGGCTAAAGATAGACCCCGAAATTCACGAAGATAATAGTTTCAAGGTATTTACATTTTCAGGTTGTTTCGCAGTCCCTATTAATAAGCGCAATCTTTAGAAAAAAAAAAGGGTACAATGTAATAACATCAAATGCAGTATTCTGTTTGCATAAGCAATTGTGTATATTAGTTGGATTGCATATTTCTACCACTGATCAGATGAAAACAATTCAGTGATGAATGTGCTAAAGTAAGCACACAAACATCATATAAAATGAGAAAGCAAGGAATAAAATATAAATGTTAATTAGGGCATCAAAATAATATACCCAGGAAAACAAAAGACATGACTTCAAATTCAACTTCATTGGTGCTCAGTTTTTTATTTTTTTATTTTTTAATCCAAACTTAAAAAATGCAGTTAGTAACATGAGTATATAGCATACCCTATTACCATCCAGATCAAACTCTTTTCCAAGAGATTCCATGACTAGCTGCTGCAAATACCGACTAAACAATAACATGCTGTCTTTGTATGGAAGGACAACCATATCCTGCGCATACGAGAAACAAAATTCCATTTCTTTTGGTCAAAAAAACATTTCAAAACGTACGGGATAACAGTATCCATATTTACCATAAAACATCTTAAGTAACTCAAACCTTGGATCCCACTCCATCAGTTGCCCAATACCAACACAAAGCTAGCAACGCCGCTGGATTATTTCTAACCTGAAAAACAAAAAAAAAAAGTTTAAATGGAACTTTTAAATGGAACTTTTATGTTGTCCCTCTAAGTTTTCATGAGATACATTTCATACGCCCACATACAAGAAAATAGGTAGATGAAGACGATCGACCAAATTGACATATGGTTGAATTCTACACAGCATATCATATTTATCACAGACATATGCCTAAGCACTTAAAATCCTTTAAAAGATATCAGAATAACACAATCGCAAACACCAAATTCGTAAAATGCAACATGCTTCCTTACAAAGAAGAAAACTATATGCTTACGAGTGTGGTCCTGTTGGCTTCATCCATCAATGCTGCACCCGCAAGCATCTCTTTAATATCGATTCCCTGTTAATTCCAGCTGGCATCAATTCTATACATGAAATTCAAGCAGCATTTAAAAAGAATTCCGAAAGTTGACAAGTAAAAAAACCTGAAGCGCAGCTGCAAGTAAACCAACAGCAGACATTACAGATGTTCTTCCACCCACCCAGTCAAACATGGGAAACCTAGCTAACCATCCCTCAATCCGTGCAGTGTTATCAAGCAATGAATTCTCTTGTGTGATTGCAACACCCTGTGGACAACAATCTGAACAATGTCATTAAAAGCATCAAAAAACTCAACTGATGTGCCAATGTGATGAGATGGTTATTTCCCAAAAAAACAAATGTGTACAAACAATGCAAAATATCCTTCAGCATCTCCATTAATCTTAGTGTTTCACAACTACAATAGAAAAATTCGGTGAATAGAAAATTAATGCAGAGAAAAAAGAATGTGAGAGCAAGACGTGTTTTGCAAACTCCAGGCCAGCTTCACGGAAGGCCTTTTGAACTTCAAGCAAGCCATTTCTTGTTTCGGGAGTACCTCCACTCTATGATAGAACAGAGGAAATTTGTTAAAAAATTTGCTGCGTATAATCATGAAAACAAACCAGCTAGGAAAATGGCTCGACTGATACCTTTGAAACCACTATCACGAGTGTGGACGCCAGCTCACCGCCGAGCTGTGCTATTTGATGATCAATGCCGGCTGGGTCTGTATTGTCAATGAATCTTATCTGCAAACATTGTGACAACACATAATTAGGGAAAGTGTACAATCCATGAAAGTGTTCACACAATATTAGACTTAAAGACACATAATGGGAGAATACATGTGTGCGCTGTAAAGTACCTTAAGAGGAGGATTATCAGGAGCCAATGCCTCTGCAACAAACTGTGGCCCAAGAGCTGAACCACCAATTCCAATAGAGAGGATTTGTGTAAATTTATCCTTTAGAGGAGGTCTAATCTGCAGTTGAAAAGACTCAAATTCACAAAACGAAAAGGAGAAATAAAATCCCAATGAGAGCTAGTTATAGAAAATAGTATTTTCCACGAGGTGAAGGAAAGCTCCACGACATTTGCTACTTTAAGGAACAGTAACACAGCTGAGCAATGAACGAGGTAGTGATGGCCTGATAATAACTCCAAAGTACAATTTACAATTATCAAAAATTTCACTTTTCAGCAATCTTGCAATATTGAGCTCGTGAACTCCAAAATGTCATTAAGTACAATAATAAGCAACGCATTCATTCTTTTTTCTTTTTTCTTTTTTCAGATAGAGGCCAAACTCCAAAATGCCATAAGCAATATGTTAATTCACCATTCAAAGTGTTAAATTTGCTTCAATGGGAACAGGGAATCTGAAATTCTTCTAGAGAGAGAGAGACAAACTGACCTTGCCGCTGACGACCTGCTCCGCAAAATCACAGAGTTTATCCAACGTCTTTCCAATCTGCTGCGTCAAGAAAGGTTTGGGGGCGAGATTGGGATTTCTGAGCCAATAGTGGCCCACCATTCTGCCTTCGTCCGGGTTCGCAATCGCGCCCTTCTCGAGCTCCGCCATATCCCCAAACGCCTTGTGGAGCCTCGGCTCCATCTCCCGGAAGAACTTGTCCGTGAACCCGATCCGGCTGACGTCAAGGTAGAGTCCCAGCTCCTTGTGCTGGTACAGCCAGTCCACGTACCTCTTCCACAGCTCGCGGGGGTCCTTCTCCAACCCCGCCGGCTTCGGGGACAGAACGGCGGAGTCAGGAAGGATCGTCGGTGGAACCTCACGCGCCACCCGCTGGGGGCGGAGGCGAGCGGACAGGGATGGGGGTTTGAGAAGGGGGTCTTGATTGGCGAGTCTCTGTGGGGCCAGCAGCTTTAGAGAGAGACTTGCTGAGATCGAGGAAGCCATTTGCGGGCGTATTACCAAACGTGTGTGTGGGTGTGTGTGAGAGAGAGAGAGAGTGGAACATTTAGAAATGAGTAGCGGCCATGTTTGTCCGGCGACGGTGAGAAGAATGAGTTGAGATGCGGAGGAGCCGAGGAGGGAATAATACCAGAGAAAATAGTATTTGTTTGTGTTAGAAAAACGAGAAAGATATAGAACACAAAATAGAAACCGGATAGAAATTATACTGAATATTTCTTTCTTCTTCTGAATGAGCACACTTTCACTACATTTGCATTGCCTTTTATAGGCAAATTCTACAGACACTTTCCACACCAATTATTCATAACAATTACACCATATACTATTCCCATTTCTATAAATAGTGAAATGTCACTATTTATGCATAGTGGTTCATTCCACTTATTTATAACACTCCCCCTTGAAATTACCACTATGCAATGTGCGTTTATGCTGCCTCATTAAAAACCTTATTCGGAAAAACCCCGTGGGAAAAAAACCGAGATAAGGAAAAAAGAGTACATCCGCACATGCTCCCCCTCGAGTTATCATCCGTGTAAATCTCGAAGATGTCTCATTCCAATGTTATGGACGTGCTTTCGAAATGTTGTAGTTGGGAGCGCCTTCGTAAATAAGTCTGCTGCATTATCACATGATCGGATGTATTGAATCTTGATCTGTTTGTTCCTTTCAAACTCTTGAGTGTATGAGAAGAACTTTGGTGGGATATGTTTAGTTCTGTCACTCTTGACGTATCTTTCTTTGGTCTGAGCGACACATGCTGCATTGTCTTCGAATATGACTATCGGATCTTTATTATTTGATAATCCACTGGCTTGTTGAATGTGTTGAGTCATATTTCTGAGCCAGATGCTCTCCCTAGTTGCTTCATGAAGTGCAATGATTTCAGCATGGTTTGAAGATGTAGCAACTAGTGTTTGTTTCTGAGAACGCCAGGAAAATGCAGTTCCACCAATAGTGAAAACGTAGCCAGTCTGAGATCTCGCCTTATGTGGGTCTGATAAATATCCTGCATCTGCAAAACCGATCATTTCATGTTTTTTATCATTTGAGTAAAATAATCCCAGATCGATTGTTCCTTGGAGATAACGGAATATATGCTTGATTCCATTCCAGTGTCTCCTTGTAGGTGACGAGTTATATCTTGCTAATAAGTTGGTAGCAAAAGATATATCTGGTCTGGTGCAATTAGCAAGATACATAAGAGCCCCTATTGCACTCATATATGGTACCTCAGGACCAAGTATTTCTTCATTTTCTTCACAAGGTCGAAATGGATCCTTTTCAACATCCAATGTTCGGTTAACCATAAGAGTACTAAGGGGATTAGCTTTGTCCATATTAAATCGTTTCAGTACTCTTTTAGTATAATTAGATTGATGGACGAATATCCCATTTTGTACTCTCTCTATCTGTAAGCCAAGGCAATATTTAGTTTTTCCGAGATCTTTCATTTCAAATTCGCCTTTCAGAAAAGTAACTGCTTCTCGAATTTCATTTGTTGTCCCAATAATATTAAGATCATCAACATAGACAGCAATTATCACAACTCCATCATGTGATTTCTTTATGAAAACACACGGACATATTTGATCATTCAAGTATCCCCTTTTTAGTAATTGTTCACTCAAACAATTATACCACATACGCCCGGATTGTTTTAAGTCATACAATGATCTTTGCAACTTTAACGCACATAACTCCTTAGTTTTTGAGTTCAGTGCTTCGGGCATTCTGATTCCTTCTGGGACTTTCATGTATATGTCGGTGTCTAATGATCCATACAAGTAAGCAGTCACAACATCCATGAGACGCATCTCAAGATTTTCATGGGTAGCTAAACTCATCAAGTATCTGAAAGTAATTGCATCCATGACAGGGGAATATGTTTCATCATAATCGATCCCAGGCCTTTGGGAGAATCTCTGTGCAACAAGGCGAGCTTTATATCTCGTGATCTCATTATTCTCATTTCTTTTTCTGGTGAAAACCCATTTGTATCCAATGGGTTTTATGCCTTTTGGTATAATGGAAATAGGCCCAAAAACTTTTCGTTTATTTAGTGAATCTAACTCGGCTTGAATGGCGCCTTTCCATTTATCCCAGTCACGTCTTTTCTGACATTCAGCTACAGATTTTGGTTCAGGATCCTCAACTTCATTATCAATTTCTTTTGATACCATATATGCGAATGCATCATCATTATTCATGATCTCATCACGCTTCCAAAGATTCCCATTGTTCACGTAATTGATGGAAATTTCAATATTTTCATTTTGTCCCGAAATTTTTCCATCATCTTGATTCCTTTTCAAATTGGAGTCAAGAATTTCTCTTTTCTTTCGAGGATTCTTATCTTTAGACCCAACTGGTCTTCCTCGTTTCAAGCGTGTCTTTGACTCATTTGGCTTATCGTCATTTGCCATTTCTTTTGGAATCTCAATTCGAGCAGGGGCATTTACGGCTACCACATGTGATTTGGTCACCCTTTTTAAATCAGTAAATGCATCTGGCAATTGATTTGCAATATTCTGCAAATGTATGATCTTTTGAATTTCTTGCTCTCTTTGTTTGGTGGGAGGATCAAGATATGATAATGCGGATGTTCTCCATTCAATATTTCTCTCAATTGACTTTTCATTCCCACCTAAAGGGGGAAACAATTCTTCATTAAAATGACAATCATCAAAACGAGCTGTAAAAACATCACCTGTTTTTGGCTCAAGGTATTTGATTATTGATGGAGATTCATATCCAACATATATTCCCAACCTTCTTTGAGGCCCCATTTTTGTACGTTGTGGCGGAGCAATTGGTACATATACTGCACAACCAAAAACTCTTATATGTGCAATATTTGGTACTCGACCATATGCCAACTGTAATGGCGAGAATGTATGGTATGCACTTGGTCTTATTCGAATTAGATCATCTGCATGCAGAATAGCATGTCCCCATACTGAAGTGGGGAGTTTTGTTCTCATTATCAATGGTCTAGCTATAAGCTGCAGTCGTTTAATAAGTGATTCTGCTAGACCATTTTGAGTGTGAACATGTGCCACAGGATGTTCAACATCAATTCCCACAGCCAAACAATAATCATTAAATGCTTGAGATGTAAACTCTCCAGCATTATCCAGTCTGACTCTCTTGATAATATAATCTGGGAATTGAGCCCTTAATTTAATAAGTTAGGCAAGTAATTTAGCAAATGCCATATTTCTAGTGGATAACAAACTTACGTGAGACCATCTACTAGAGGCATCAATCAACACCATAAAATATCTGAATGGACCACAAGGTGGATGAATAGGTCCACATATATCACCATGAATCCTTTCTAAAAATAATGGTGATTCATGTCCGACTTTAGTATGTGATGGTCTCATTATCAATTTCCCTTGAGAACAAGAGGCACATGTCAACTCATGTGTTTGCAATATCCTCTCATTTTTTAGTGGATGGCCACTAGAATTTTCAATAATTCGTCGCATCATTATCGAGCTAGGGTGACCAAGTCGATCATGCCAAAGTTTAAATATTTCATTCGACTTTGAATTTGTTGCAGCATATGCCTCAATTATATTAATCCGGGTATAATACAAACCCGAGGATAAAGCGGGTAACTTCTCCAAAACACATTTATTTCCCGCATTATCTGAGGTAATGCAAAGATATTCAACTCCCCCTTTATTCATCGTTTCAATGTGGTATCCGTTCGTTCGGATATCTTTAAAACTCAACAAATTTCTTGTTGATTTTGGGGAGAATAGTGCATCACTTAATATAAATTTTGTACCGCCCATCATAAAAAATATGGCTTTTCCAAAACCTTCAATTATCTTTGCACTTCCGGATATTGTGTTTACTTTTGCTTCATTTAATTTCAAGTTCACGAAATATTTTCTATCCTTGAGGATAGTATGAGTAGTAGCACAATCTGCAATACATATATCTCCATCTTGAATTCGAGACCGATCCATGATCTAAAAGAAAACAACATTTATTATTGATCAAATTCAAAGTACAGATACAAGTAGCTCATACACAAATACATTACAACTCAAAAAGCAAAATAAAAACATGATCATCAGTTATTCTCTAGGTCATTTCCAGCTCCGTCTTCAAATGCCGCATCGGCAAAATCCAGTTTCAATATGTCATCGATGCCATAGTCATCATCCACACGCGTTGCATCATTTTCAGAGGATTCCCCAACCATAAAATTAGTTTCTATATTCTTATCTTTTGATTTCTGGGAATCTTGGTATTTTTCAACCTCGTGCCTTGGGGCTCGATAATTTCGAGCCCAATGGTTATTTCTACCACATCGATAGCATGCCTTTTCATCGTTATCCCCTTTATTATTTTCAGAATGTTTATGAAAATCATTTTTTCCATGTCCATGATAATTACCTCGGCCAGATTTGTATCCTGGGAAAAAATTTCGGCCTCGTCCATAATTTCTATCTGGACCATATCCACGGCCACGTCCACGTCCACGTCCACGTCCACGTCCACGACCACGGCCACGTCCCGAGGTATATCCACGCACATTTGTTTGGCTGTTTTGATTTCCGGTTCCCTGTTTAGATATTACAGCATTTATTTCAGGGACCGCAGTAGACCCTGTGGGTCTAGATTCATGATTTTTCATCAACAGCTCATTATTTTGTTCGGCTAGCAACAAGCAAGAAATCAGCTCAGAATATTTCACAAAGCCTTTTGCTCTGTATTGTTGCTGCAAAAGTACGTTTGAAGCGTGGAATGTGGACAACGTTTTTTCAAGCATATCGTAATCAGTTACGTTTTCCCCGTATAATTTCAATACCGAGCAAATGCGAAACATGGCTGAATTGAACTCGTTTACAGTTTTAAAATCTTGGAAGCGTAAGTGCATCCATTCATAACGAGCCCGGGGGAGAATTACTGTTTTCTGATGATCGTATCTTTCTTTCAAAGCTTTCCAAAGATCCGCAGGATCTTTCACAGTTAAGTATTCATTTTTCAATCCCTCATTTAAATGATGCCGCAGAAATATCATTGCTTTAGCTTTATCTTGTATTGATGAATTATTTGGGAGATTATTGTTTCTCCCAATCCCCTCGCGGCCAAATGAATTTCGGCATCCAGTGTCCATGAAATATAATTTTTTCCCGAAATGTCAAGAGCCTCAAATTCAAGTTTGACCAGATTTGCCATGATAACTATAAAATAAAACATCAATGCTTATATTAGAGAAAATTACATTATACAATCATTAATTCTCCATAACGTACAGAAAAACAAATAAGAGACACATCATACAAAAACCTAATACATAAAGTATAAATTCAGTGGTATGATACATCATCGTGAAAGTTCCCAAAGTGTAAAAAATAAACAATATAATGGTAATTATAAACAGTAGATGAAACATTTTTTATTCGTTTGAGGGAAATATATTTTAGTATTTGAATGAGTGTTAATATATGAAGTGTAGTGTGATATATATATAAGTGGATAAGTAGCCGTTGCAATATAGCCGTTATGTAGCCGTTGGGAACAAATTAATGATATAATATTTGTTAGTTAATCATTCATGATTATAAAATACTAATTAATCATGTATATTATCTTAAAAATTCATCGAGCCACTATGTGAACAATTTAATGAATATAAGTGTCAAAAAAATAAAAATGTCACTCCACACTACTCGATAAATCTTTCGGTGGGTACAAATATAAGCAGTTATAAATTTCACACCACATTACTGGGTAAACCCTTTTGCGGGTGTGAAGTACAAGTAATAATATTATATATTTTTAATTATAACATGAAGTCATTTCTTAATCATTAGTAATCCATAAGTAAATTTGATAATATCAACTTACCACATATTATTGACTATGGCAGAGCCGTACTTGCCAATAATAATGGTAATATGTAAATTAGTATAATGTTATATTTAGTATATTCATACCACATGTTCTTGACTATGGCAGAGCCGTACTTGTCAAAAATAATGGTAATATGTAGATTAGTAAAATATACTGATTTTATGTAATGTATATACATATTAGTATATTCCTACCTTTCGGACCGGGTAGAGCGTTCGTGCTGATAACGTGTTAGAAAAACGAGAAAGATATAGAACACAAAATAGAAACCGGATAGAAATTATACTGAATATTTCTTTCTTCTTCTGAATGAGCACACTTTCACTACATTTGCATTGCCTTTTATAGGCAAATTCTACCGACACTTTCCACACCAATTATTCATAACAATTACACCATATACTATTCCCATTTCTATAAATAGTGAAATGTCACTATTTATGCATAGTGGTTCATTCCACTTATTTATAACAGTTTGATATTTCCGAGACTTTTTAATATTTGAGAATTTTTTAGTTTATTTAATTTAAATTTTTTAAGATATTTAAAAATACAGAGTTATTCATTTGAGATTTTAAAAAATATATATTTAATTTATTTGAAACTATGATTTGTTAAGAATTTTTAAAATTTATTATGATTTTAAAAGAAAACATCTATATACTTTCTCTCACTCCAAATTCCACTTTCAACTTTAAGATTTATAGAATTCCTCCAAAATATGGAAATTTTAAATCTCAAAATGTTTCAAAATGTCACTCGAAATATCAAAAAAACAATAAGCAGTTTTCCACACCACAAATTAATAAGTTAACTTTCTTACCCATTTAGTGCGAACAAAATTATGTAATAAACTATGCCGACAGACAAACGAAGATAATTGATAAAATGTGAAATAATTCTGCAATAAACTATGCGACAGACATACGAATATAATTGAGCAAGTGCGATCTCATTATGTGATAAACTATGAGACAGATAGACGAAGTTAATTGAGCAAGTGCGAAATAATTATGCGACAGACGAGCAAAGATAATAGAGCAAGTGCGATTCATTATGAGATAAAATATGTGACAGATAAGCGAAGTTAATTGAAGAAGTGCGTAAATAATATGCGATAAACTATGCGTAGTCATGGCCTAACCCGGTTTCAGGAACAACCAGTTTTGGGTCAAGGTTCTAGGGGCCCTTAATCGGCCCTATCATATGCACGGGTCGGTACAATAAAACGTGAGTTCCAGACCCGGCTCAGTGAACCGTTAATTTCACACCGAGTTTTTTTCTTTAAACGAGAGGGGGGGGGGGGGGNNGAACTGGACTTAGTTGACATATTATAAGTTAAAATATAAATTAAATTAAATAATTTTTCGAGTTTAAAAATGATATTTTAACTTGTGTCAATTAAGTTGTCTATGTATCCCTTACCTTAGGAATCAAAGTCCTCGTAATTCTGTTACTTTACTTACCTTGATGGAAGTAACAATATAATAGTGCCATAATAAATCTTAGGGAGATTCTACAGTCCAGTTACGGAACCATTCCGTCGGGATTGGTAACCGTTAGATCAACTATCCACGACGGTTATATGATGATCTAACGGTTACAAATCCCGACGGCATGGCTCCGTAACAGGATTGTAGCATTTTTCTAAATCTTTGACATGTCGAAGGCTTTAAGAACGTGCATTAATTAAACACATACATTTGGAAGTGGGTTTCCATAATCCTGAAAAATCGAATTATGCATATGTGTTATATTCGTCGCACTTGCATGTAAATAATTCATGCAAGTCTATTTTAATTATTGAACAATAAATTGAATTAAACTTTGCCTCTAATACCAATTGTTGGGTTCGACGAAGAACGTCAGTTGATTGTTCGTTAATCAAATCCTAAAAATTTAATCTTAAGCGTTGCGGATCTAAAGTTTAAGATCAAAATTTTACGTTTGAGATATGTAGACTCAAAGATAATTACACAGTCTACAGGACTGGCGAATAGTTATGCCCCTCTACCTTGAAGTATTTTGATGTATTCCTCTCTTTCTATGAGTGACGTGAATTTTAAATGTCTTGCTAGAGAATGAGCCTCTCACATGGTGTATTTATAGACTACAATAGGAAACTTAAAGAGAATAAGATTAGGTTTTCAGGAATACTTGGGTTATGATTAGAGTTGTCAATTTGACCCGCGGGTCAAATTTCTAGGCCCGCTGGGGAGCGGGCTTAAACGGGCCAGCCAACCCACGCCGGCCAAGGCAGGATGGAGCGGCCTGGCTAATTAAAAAAAATAAAATAATACATCATTACATATATGTAATATTAGATGGCCAAGATTAAGTGAATTATTGATTCAAAATCTAAACCATTGAAAGGATTTTGTTTAATAGCCGGTAGGTTAGCAAAAAACACACATACACACAGTTATACTTTCGCCCATACGCACTGCTCTCAATCTCGCCTCTTTGTCTCCCCTCTGGATCTCTGATTCTTCGACCTCCGCCCACGCCTCTGCCTCCGGCCTCCTTCTCCGGCATCTGCCTCCGATAATCGACGCTTACACGCACTGTCTCTCGGCTCTCAGTCTCGCCTCTTCGTCTCCCCTCTGAATCTTTGATTCTTCGACCTCCGCCCACGACTCCGTTCTCCGTCTCCGGCGACCGCCTTCGAGAATCAACGCCCACGCGCACTTCCTCTCTCGGCTCTCAATATCGCCTCTTCGTCTCCCTCTGAATCTCTATTCTCTGATTCATCTAACAGCAGTTTNAGAATTGGGCCGTGGCCCAAGCCAACACAATTTAGCAGGCTGCAGCCTGTAGCTCACCTTAAAAAAATAATAATAAAAAGGCAGGCCTGGCCCGCCTAACCCGCAGTTCGTGGCGGGACGGGTTGGGCTCCGGCCCGCCACAATAACCTCGCCGACCCGTTTTGACAGCTCTAGTTATGGTCCATCCTATCCTTAATTATATTAATAATAAATAAGTCCACTAATGGTTCTATTATTACACTACATTTTCAAGCTCCACTATTCTGATTAATCTCCACCTATTTAAGATATCATATGTCTGTTAATTAATTTAATTACTAAAAAATTAATTAATCAACTTTATTGTTTCCGAAACTAATGCCACTCAACATTATTATTATTATGCAGCAACTCAATCCGCTTGAAGGACTTGACATAATAATTCTTTTGAGCTCATTGCGAGGACGTCATCATCCTGGCGCACTAAGATACAATGAATGAATATAATCGACAACACACCGTGTGATTAATAATATTTCCCAACTCACCGAGTACGTCGACTTAACAAATAAGTCTCATCCTTTGATGAAGTTAATATATATATATATATATATATATATATATATATAGGGTCACGCTCCGGTGAGAATGATGCTTATCGAAAGAAATAAGAATAAATCTTGACCACAAGATTAACTTAATCTCGCGGCCAGCAACAGCTCACATTCACGTAACTAGAAGGGCGAATTCGTAAATTACGTTATACACAGCCCAACCATTCTCCCAGCTCGATATTAAATTCAACATCAAAAGCGACGCTCTAAAAAATCCCAACCATCAAACGCAAATCTCCCAGCTCAATTTTAAATCTCAATCCTCCAAGCTCGACGTCGAAATCCCGAAGCTCGAAATCAAAATCTATGAAAAATCTCAAATCTCCAAGCTAGAAAGGCTCTCAAATTGAATTTCATCGAATCTGGAATCTGCATCTGCATCGTGATTAACCTCGGTTAGGGCAAAAAACGAAATCGAGGTACGTACGTTATTGGAATTTAGGGCTTTAATTCAACACATACGATCGATTTAGGACCTTCTTCTTTTCTCTCTTTTTTTTTTCCTGTTATTGTTGATTCAGGACCTTCTGTTGAATTGTTGATATATGATACGATTTGTCCTTTTTTTTGTTTCCAATTGTAAATTTAAGGCATCTTAGAGAACATACGTTGCACTGCTTTCATACCGTTGTACCGCATAAGACGATGGAATCAAATGTTGCTCAGACGGGTAGGGACCAATGTTTCGTCTTGTACGATGAAAATATATTTAATGAGTCCTAGTATGTGTAATGTGCACATATATGCAATGATTCGTGCAAGTTTATGAACAGTGTTGTGCAACTAGTACAATGATGTGTTTGATCTCTATATGTGTTCATGTGATCGACATATATCTTGTGCTTGACATCTATATATGTTTATATTTATATGTTTGACATCTATATTAACTTATTTGTTTGTCATATTGTGTTTGTGTTTGACATCTGATGTATCCCTTCTTTATATATATATATATATATATTGACTCTATAATGTTCATGCATCGAGCTGTTGATGTGCATTACTCCGTCTACAATTGTGCAATTTTATGAACTTATTGCATCCATCCACAGGGACACCATCATCATATACGGCTCGTCAGCAAATGTCAATCACTCCTGGTGGCGCTAAGTATTGGATACCACAGTGTGATGATCCCCTTAAACCTTATAAGGGGCAAAAATTCCGAACACTGGATGATGCAATAACCTTCTACAAGACATACGCGTATGCTGTTGGTTTTGATGTATGACAGAGCACCTTGATCAAGGCACGTGATAATAAGACCATACTTTGGAGGTATCTGGTATGCTCGCGAGAGGGTTATAAACACAGTACACATGCCGATGTGCACATAAAAAGATGACGAGTATTTAACCGTGTGGGTTGTGTTGCGAGGATAGTGTTGCGTGTGGACGGGCTCAATGGGTATATTGTCAGCTCTTTCGAGGATAAACACAACCACTCGATGACTTCTGAAGAATGCAGACAACATCTCAATATCAACAGAACTATGAATGCGGGACATCAAATTTTCGTCTTGAATTGCATAAAGGCAAACATTGGGCCTGTCAAATCATACAAGTTGTACAAAGAAATTGTGGGAGGATATTCCGTTATTGGTGCCACAAGCGTGGATTTCAAGAACTTCAAACGGGAAATCCTTGCTTACATTTTAGGAGCAGACGCGCAATTGGTCATCGACAAGTTCTATAAGAGACAAGAGCATAGCACCGCATTTTACTTTCACTACGAAGTAGACGATAATGACTGCTTGCAACGACTTTTCTGGGCGAATCCAATTTCAAGACGGAATTATGGATCATTCGGGGATGTCGTGACATTTGATGCAACATATCGCACCAAACGGTAACTTACAACCTGTATTCTATCTGATTGCATTGTATTACAGAATGACTGAATGCACAAAATACCAATATTGATTGCACATTACATAGTTATAGGATGCACACTAAATCATACAGTGATGAACATTATACTATACCTCAAACCGTATGTTAACACTCAATGGTTATCTTTACAGATACAACATGGTGTTTGCTCCCTTCACAGGGATCGATAACCACAACAAATGTGTTACTTTTGCGGCAGCCTTGATATCGAAGGAGGACGTGGGTTCGTATGTTTGGGTGTTTGAAAATTTCAAAGCCGCCATGATTCGAGAGCCAGAATACATTGTTACGGACCAAGATCCCTCAATTGAAATCGCCTTTTCTAAGGTATTTAATACGTCAAGGCATCGTTTTTGCATGTGGCACATAATGGCAAAATTATGTGATAAGGTAGGGCATTGTTTGCATAATGATGTTGGTTTCAAATCCAGACTTAATGAGCTTGTTTGGAATCGAACAATGGAACCACCAGATTTTGAGACGAAGTGGATTGAACTCATGCGTGAATATGAGCTGGAAACCCACAACTGGTTTGTTGATTTGTATGAAAAGCGAGAACATTGGATTTCGGCATTCTTTAGAAGTGTTAAAATGAGCGGGCTAATGAGAACCACGTCTAGGTCGAAGAGTGAGAACAATTGGTTCGGCTATTTCATAAATAGTCATGCTAGTCTAGTCGAATTCTTGCTACACTTTGATAGTGCAATGGATGCACAACGAAACACATCAATGAAGTTGCAAGCGGACAGTGAAACACACTTGGCTAACTTGAAAACTCCATTGGCTATTGAAAAGAATGCTCTGAATGTATATACCACTGCCATGTTCTATCTTATTCAAAAAGAAATATGTGCAGCATGTTTCCATTGTCGTCTTATGAAATTCTCAGATGACGATGGGCATACGAAATTCGAAGTCCAAGATATTAATGGCTAGACATTCACAGTGCTATACAATGCGAGTCTGAAAACGGCCACATGCTCTTGCAAGCATTTTGAAATGTATGGGTGGCTGTGCAGGCACATTTTCGTTGTGTTGAGGGATATGAACGCTGAGGTTATACCGACTACATATATTCTATCAAGATGGACAAAATTGACCATTTTTAACCCAATGTTTTGCGTTGTTGATGGTATAACCGAACAGTGTGCTCAAATTGATGATAGGAAATTCATGGTGAATAAATTGTGGTCTGACATACATCTATGCATGGGATTGGTCGAGACATCCATGGACCGCCTTGTCGAGTTTTCAAGACTTATCGGACCATAAGCACAAGTTGATAAATGATCAGGAAGGTGTTCCAACCGGGACGAAAGATCATCGATTTGAAACATTTGTCGGCACGTCTGCCCCTCAGGAGTTGAACATACACCCGCCGGCCAAGTCAAATAACAAGGGCGGTGGGAAAAGGATGAAAAGTGGGAAGGAGCAAGCAATCGAAAAATCCATCAAAAAGAGACGTATATGCATGACATGCGGTGAGAGGGCAGGTCACAACACCCGGACATGTCCCAAGAAACAGTAGTGGTATGATGTGTAATACATTTCCCGTACTACAAATAAACAAAACAACTCTGTTTGTGCATCATTGTATTAACTTTTAGTTACATTAGATTACACTATCGAGGTACGAGCATGTCTTACATATTTCACTGATCGACGTATCTAATTACATGCAGACAATGGGAGTCAATGAGGGCGGATGAAGATGTTGGAAGCTTCGATATTGCACTTAACCCATTATTTTTTTTATTTTTTTTTATATTATCGTGTTGCTACAAATGATGTTAATTGTCTATCCAACTCTATATTGGTTTTATTATTATTATTATTATCATTATTATTATTATTATTATTATTATTATTATTATTATTATTATTATTATTATTATTATTATTATTATTGTGTTGTTTTGTATGTCCAATGCATAAATATACATAGCTTAAAGCGACTGCACGTTATTGAATGCGACATAGCACATTAATTTAGACGATGATGCACATTAAGAATCCTTGTTATTATATGTCTGCCAACAAGTATATATGATTACATAAAGATTGCACATTATAATAAATAAATATACATAGCTTGAACAGAATGCACATTATTGAATGCGGCGTTGCACGTTAATTCGAACAATGTTGCACATTAAGGAACAATATCAATATACGACTGCCTATCGCATGTATATTTGACTACACAAATGTTGCACATTATTATGCGTATTACAGCACAATATCTATGGATAGCCTGCACATTATAATACTAGCCAGCATAATATATTTACGACCGCAAGTTCATGCCACAAAAACCCGTCGTCATTCAGAAATATGTCTAAAACCCAAAACGCAACATATGAAAACACAAGACACCACATACGACATCCTAAAAAAAAAAAAAATCACGACATACTTAGTCATAAACAATAATAACATGTCCCTAGAACGCCGACAAGTCTCATACACACCCACACACTCAACAAGGAGCAACACCACGCTCATGTTTCTTCTTCAAGTACAAAGGGTGAAATCTATTGGTTGCATCTAAGTTGTTATCCTTCAGCTTGTTGTTCGGAGCGCATGCTACGACATAGCAATAACGCTTCCTCATCAGCTTCATCTGCACCTTGTCCGCCTTCTTTTTTTGAGGAGTCCAGCTTTTCGTAGCAGTCCCTTTGAACGTCTCTATGTGACGCATGGTGACCACCCCACTATCCACCGTGTCGACCCCAACCGTCCACGTCGGATTGACGATTTCCGGTATCGCCATACCAACTACCTTGGAGAACCTCCCCATTTTCCTCTCGCTTAGGTATTTTGAAAACGATTGTTTCTGAACATGAACATCACAAATATAGTTGTCAACATACATTCATACCATAACACAAAACAGCACAAAACATATGATTATACTTACAAGCAACTCAACGTGTGTCGTAACCTTTCTCTTAACCGCAGCTTCTTTACAAAACCCAGCACTGTCTAGAACTACAACTTTGTACTTCTGTGCACCCGGTGCAATGTATAACACACCAGAAAATGCACTCGAGTGTACAGGGAATAAAAAATAAAATGAACAATAAAGGTACGATTATCATACGTGTCATTTCAACCTTATAAAGGAAAGTAGTTCGAGGCCGAATAGTATAAAATCAATTGACAAACTCAGTGACATTTGATCCAACTGATACCGAGACATCCGCGCAATCTCAGCATCAATACATTCTTTAAACTTTTTGTAGGTAACGTCCTTCTTCCGTCTGCCCTCTACAAACAGCTGTGAACACAACATCACACATTACAAACATTATTATATAATATCGACAACTTTTACACGCAATTTGACACGATTTGTTGTACATCATACCTCGTTACACGGAGACGTAGATGCATAAAAACACGTAGCTGAATCACGACTCTTTAATCTCTCATATTGATTAAGAACAAAAGTCCACAAGTCTATCATTGCCTCAGAAATATGTTCATTCGGAATCAAACATGCCACAACCGGCCTCGGGACAGAATATGGGACAGTTTCAAACGACTGGAATATTATTATGTCATTTTGCCTAAATAGCAACATTCATAAAATATAATCATTCATTCCGAACAATACATACTACTCACAATACATTAAAATTAGAAATAATATGATAATTAGTGTTCAAGGAATTACAAAACATAATTATCAATACAAGTGAGATAGCTTACTCGTAAGCCAAGTGATTCTTCATAACCCAGTTAACTACCATATTCTCTTTTGCATCTAGTTTCGTGTTCACATATACCAACCTCTCCTTAAACGGTGACTTGATTGCACTAGTCCCATTCGTTTGCCGCTTAGGCCTTGTATTGCCAGTCAGTCCATCGTCGCATCCGGCACCTACACACAAATCAAGATGCACAGACAAAAATACTAAAAAAAAATATCATAAATTGAAAACCGACTAATTTCATTAAATGAACTAGTCACATATACCTTATGTTACACCTATATTATTTGCATTTCCACCAGTCTCACAACCATCAACTTGCTCGGCGACAGCAACCTCATCTACAATGATGACGATAAACTCAACTCTATAATACAAGTATATATGTCATACGACACAATTACATGCAAAACGAAATATAATACACATTAATATATATATAAAAAAAAATAAAAATAAATAAAAATAAAAAGAGCATGAATTAGTATATGTACCTTGTACACCACCAACACCCGCAACATCAACACCGATGTTCGTATCAACAGCAATGTCACCTATGAAAAAATATTGATCATCAAAGCAGTCAACAAAAACCCATATACGTAAACATTAATCACAAAGAAAATATCAATTTTAATGTAGTTGAACATTACCTGTGGGTATATCTACCCCTGAAGATCCTCCGACAGCTACTTCGTCCGTCTGATGAGCATTGAAGCCACTACCCCCTTCACCCTCACCCGATCGATGGCAGCGAACAACATACTCATCCTCGTCTGATGATAATCCCAAGCTAAAGCTCGGACTCTCTAATAGCATCTGACTGAAATAGTCCCGACGTGCAACAACGTCCAATATATCGTCTAATGCCGCTATCGTTACGGGATCATTCCAAAATGCATCATCTGCGACCTGAGATGCACTCCCCTTCGCGAAATCCTTATTCGCATTTTCCTTTTGCGTAGGTTCTACCTGGTTTGGATGGTTTGGATCCATATCAGTTGAGCCTCGCTGCATCTTCTTGTGTTGGCTATAATTAATTTTCGACTTCAACTTCGAGTCATCACTTGAAAAGCCGATAAATTTTTGTGCGGCAGATTGCATCTTCACGAAGGTTTCATCATCAAATAGAACCTGTGGAGCCTTCTCGACGAGCCGTAATATTTCAACTCCAGTGTTTGCAAGAATCCGGGTTTTAGATGCAAATTCTTGGACAAATTCCTGCCAATAAGAATAACCAAATATATTATATTATATTGTATTATAGTATATTGTAAACAGATAAGCAAGATAAAACAGAAACAATGCAAAAACTAGTCTACGACTCATTGAACATGTATACATCATCAAATGAACATTATATGTCATGAACATGTGTACATCATATGAACATTATACGTCATGTCAGACAAAAAATATTAACACACACATAACGAAAGTTCAGCAAGCTTGCAACACCATGGTTACACGTATCGAAATTCTAGCAATCACACATCATCACAATTGCACATATGAAGATATCACCACAAACACATTGGCAACCATAAATAACCAATTTCCTACATACCTAAACAGTATGTTCAGTCTCAGAACTCGCCTTCGACTCGCCATCAGTAATTTTATCAACGACATCCAGACGGCTATCAACTTCCACGACATGCGTGTCCTTGTCCACAAACCCTCTGCCAAATGCACCAGTCTCTATCTCAGCACGCTCTCTGTCCCTTAATAGATCATTACTCCATGATTTAAACGTCGGGAACGATCTTCGAACAGTTCTCATCGACAACACCACCTTATCCACATAGAATAGCTAGAAACAAAAAAAAGAAAAAAAAAAAAAGGTATTAATAATAATATTTACATAACATAATATGAAAAAAAAAATGCATATGCTAAGATGTTTAACGATCAAAATCATTCGTACTAACCGTCAGAAACATCAAAGGGCCTGTATACTTGTTCTGTTTGCCATTACCGCACCATGTCTTTCTTGTGTTCACAAGGCAACTGATCATGTACGCGCACCAGTTCATATCAGCAACATTGGATACATCCTCGAGCAAGTGGACAATTTGTGAATTCGCCATTTTGTTTTGGCAGCTCTCAAACAAGCACGTCACCATCAGAACAACAAAATGCCTCTTAAACCAATCGTCACCATCTGCACATTCCTGGATCTTCTCAAGCACCTTAGTTGCTGTGATATTAGTTGACCTTCTAACATCGAATAGACTAACCCATTGACTAAGAATGTTTGATTCACCCTCTTTTGTTTGTTTGATATTTGAATTGAGCCACGAGGGAGTCCTAAAACCGCATACACATCCTCTTCACTCACATGTATTTCGCCACCATATAATCGCAGCTTGCGGTCCGAATAGTTGAAGTTATCAACCAACCAGAAACCCAATTTCAGTGGCAATGTCGTTATCTTCAAGTCTAACAAGAATTCAAAGCCCATCTCACGAACTACGTTTTTCTTTGCGTCCGACAGCCCGGACACAGCCTTCACAAACGTGGTTGCTGATGATCTTGTATTCATGACAGGGAAAACTCCATCATCATCGCTACCGGATTCATACACAACAAGTTCTTTGTCTGATTCGTGAACAATAGTATGTTCCTGATTAACCGGTGCTTTACCCTCACCTGTTGCAAACATAAATTCATCAAAAAATGTGCAATAACTATGAATAGAGTCATAATTTGATAGGTGAGTGAAAAAAATATCCTTATGCTTGATGGTCGACTTGACACGACGCGTACAAGGGCATTCCTCCACGAAATCATCACTACTATCAGGTTGGTTCGATGTTGGCACAATAATCTTCACGTTCACGCATGACACGTCACGATCTGCCTTTCTCTTACCTGGGGACGGTAATTAATATTAAATCACAATTTAATAAAAGACCATTCCATACAGTCATATATGCAATAACTAAGAACGACGGCAGGGCAAACAAGTTTAACATATTAGCAATGTAAGTCGTTTATTTTATAATCTGCACAACATATAGATCTATTCAACCATGTAAGAATGAGAACAGGAACATACCGTAATATATATATTGAATCTTGTACAACATATGTGAGTGTGTAAAATACATTGATGCACACTTGTACACCGAAATTTGCACATCACCAGTACAACAAATGCACAATATATGCATAGCACCCATACAAAATTAAATTCTCACCAGCTCCAGTACATCAAATGCATGCTATATGCATAGCATCACATACAGTATTAAATACTAATCACAACGACTTCAAAAAAATAAAATAAATACAAATCACAACTCCGGCAACTGAACATGACTGGTCTTTAACTACAATATATAATGATGACATAATTAGTACGAATAGATCACATGATCTCATCACAAAAACACCGACATCATATTAAGTCGAAATACTTACCAGTATCCCGGTTTTTTTCATCAGCTCCAAGATTTGTAGTAACAGGACTCGTTTCTTTTCGATTACCACCTACGAATTGTACAGTAAAACCAAACAACGGAGATTAACTTCAAGTGATCATGTGTCAAAATGGCAATACCAACAAATATACACACCAATCATTGAAATTTTAACGTTTAATCACATAACTCTAACAACTGGATACATACAAATCCTTACAGACACCCATCTAATCTAATGCATACTTAAAATTCATAAACGGCGTCACACACATGGATGAATGAGAACAAGAGAAGGAACCATGGATAATAATATATGTGTAAATTAGTTTTGAATGACTGACCCAAAAAAAAAAAAAAAAAAANAAAAAAAAAAAAAAAAAATACGACTTAAGATCCCTAGTTCATCAAACAATTTATAATTTCATTTCATAGGCAAGCTGAATAAATTAGGCTCTGACTTGGAAGTCCAAATGTTCAACAACAATGTTTATGTACCCATTCAATGTTCTCCAAACATACGGCAAGAGGCGAATGACGAAATTAACTTATATTATTATCCATGGGGAAACATATCATACTAAACAGGAACAGTGAAATTAACTTCAAGCCAACTATATACCATAGCTGCATAAGCTTAAGCTGAAGACCCAGATAAAGATTTTCGAAAAATAAAATAGAAAATGCAAATATATCGAATGACGGAAAGAAATTTCGAATTAAAAATGGTGTGGTTCTCTGCTTCAGCCGCGGGATGAACACAGGAATGTAAAGCAAATAAAGAAAGATGATTCAGTAGAGTAATACACTGAAAAAAACACATAATCCAATTACTCATGATCTTGCTCCAACGAACGAAGCCCATAACCTAGAAAACAGACCGTTGTAAACCACAAAACGTTGCGGCAGAAAGCATAAGAGATGACAGCAGAAGGAAAACATCTGTCTAAAATATCCCAAACACTATGCACCCAAGCTAATGTACTATACCTATATATAAGTGCTTCTGCTGATTGTAAAACCGAAAAATCCATAGAAAGCTTCTTGGACAACAATATACCTGGTTTTTTTGACTGAGGCGATTTTCCCATCTCGTGATTCCCCGAACTGTTAACCCTAGCCCCTAAAATGTGAAGGTAGATCTGACCTCGCTCTCGAAAAGTCCTAGCCGATGAACTAAATCAAAAAATCACACCTCCATTGATAACGCAAGCACCGCCATTACTGAGATCGATTAGAGCGCCTCTCAGACATTACTCTCAATTACTCCTTGGGAAAAACGGAAGCGCAATGAATGTGACGCAATTGTTCGAAAAATACGCCCATACTCTCAGCTTCTTCATAACAGACCGCTAACTTCCTTTAATTTACTAAACTGCCACCGCATATTGATCATTTAAGAAAAAAGACCGCGACCCTATCTAACCGTTGGTTTCATGGATCTAAAGGCCCACATTTATTCTTATTTCTTTCAGTATGTACCATTCTCATGTGATCCAATCTCTCTCTCTATATATATATAATCACATGTGCCCATCATTATCATCGGGGTTTAAAGTATGAGTGATATTATGTGATATAGTTTATTTACTGGGTCATTATAAAATAAACATCTCTTCCATGGTCCAATTCAATACACACAAAGTGTACTAGTATAATTCATTACTCAAGACAAATTGATCTCAAAGTATATTATAACCATACAGATAGGTCTATGCGTTGCTATCTCGCTTAAGACTTTATATTATTTCCAACGTCAATAACATGATAAATTGTAAAGTCATACATAAAGTAAATTGCACAATATTTGAATAAATATGATTATTTTATTCAAAATAAAAATAAATTAAAATATATCATTGCTTTCAATATACAAATCATATACTACAACATAAATGGTTTTATGTAGTACCAAATAAATGATACGTAAAAGCTATAAAATGTTACTATAGACAATAGGTAATACAATATTGGCGCTGCAATTGTTTGTGCTACCGTAAAGTCAAATGTAATACTTTTGGTAGTTTTTGGTAACACTTATATGATACTTTTACTAATTTTTTGTAACACTTATATTAAAAGTGTTATAACATAAAAGT